CCAAACAACTTCTGATTTCTGCTGTTTCTTGCTAGTTATAACTAACATCTATCATCTTTGTCAATGTTCTAATAACTGAATTGTTAGAGCAGTGCTCTATACTGATGTTACAGGCAGCAATTCACTTCGTTTTGAACAATTCCCTTAATCATAGTGATAAAGGCATAAAGCGTGCAGTACAGTGTTATTCATTTAGTGGTACTAGCTATAAACAAACACTAGCAACAATATGCCCAAGAAAATGTTCCAATAGATCAAACACTGGCTCCCTAACTTAGTATTAGTTAGGCTCCCTAGCTAAGTATTAAGCTTAGAAATACAGGTTGGTCAAGTCCTGCACTCTGAGCAATGCAAAAGTATAATTCCACTGAAGTCACATGGGTTATTATCAGTGTAATATTGTTTGCAAGTAGAATCAGACCTAGAGATGTTTTAGGCAGATTAGAATTTACTTAGGCGTTATTTTCAAGCCAATACAAACTAATCATTTACTATAATTACTAATAATAATGCTTTGTAATACACACATGCCAATTTAAAAGGTGATGCTTCAAAAGAATATGCAAATAAAGAAAAACAAGCTGCCTTAGGTAAGAGTCTGTCAAAGTAAGACAACCCAGATATAACCATCTATCTAATCATTCTACTTTTCTTTCCAAGAAGCATAATTAGTCAGAGTTGCAAGAGAATTACCCCACCCCCAGTCCCTCAGCAATCCCACGGGTTGCTTCTCCATCCCTACTCGAAAGGCTCTTCATAAGCTCCTTCCGCTCCCTGCTTCACAGATTCCCAAGCACTGGCAGTAACAGCTGTCAGAGCTTCCCCATCTAGGGTCACTTGATGGGTTTTCACTGAAAAATACCATCAGGCACTGACCTACTCATCTAGAACCAAATCACTCAGTATGGCTAAGTAGCCCTGAACCACAGGATTTCCCTGGCCTCTGGGGTGCTAACTCTGTAAGGAAGCTACAGGGAATACCTGAGGACACTGACACAAACTCCTGCTGCAGTCTGCACTGCAGTTACTTTGAAGGTGAACATGCATATGACAGTTGGTAAGCTCTTGCTAATTGTGTAACAACAGGAGTTCAAAAGGAGACTTTAGAGCCTTTTCTACTCAGGTGTCTAATAAGGTGAGGAGGTTTAGTTCCTTTCATATCCCTAATCCATGCCAAATAGGTAGGGCCATGAAAAAAAAGCTTCTTGACAGAGCTCAAATCACTTCATCACTTTAAATAAAAATAAATAAAAACTACCACATTACTACACAACAATCTAGTCTAGGCACTAAAATAAAGCCTATGATAGTCTGTCCAATTGGTTGTCCAAACGGCATTGTTTAGTCTTTCAAATAGCCTAATTAGATATAAATAAAGACCAACAGAAACTTTTCAAACAGAAAGCCTTAGCCCCTTTTGACTCTACAACTTGTAAACCTTATATTAACACAAAATGACTTGAAGACTATCCCAGAGAAGCCATTCCCTTTTTCACCCATATAAGAATACCCAATGAAGCTGAAAAGAACGTTTGTTCTAAAAAGGCCTATGAAACCGGACTACGTTTTTCATACCAGAAGTCGCCCTTTCAGAGCATGGGCACATAGGACAGTTGTGCTGTCATTCTGCAACTTACTTGATTACCAAAACTATTAAACTAGTACTCTGCTCCTGAATGAGTTAACTTACCAGAAATACAAACATACAAGAAAAAAACTACAACATGGAAAAAAAATAAAACCCAGCACAGATGGGTCTTAGAAATGAAAAAACACTCAGTGAGAAGAGATCTGGTAATTCCCAGGAAACTGAATCATTAAAAAACACCTTCAAAAAACCTGAAGGGAACTTTGCAGTTTCAAAGAAACAGAAAAGCTGCTATAAAAGAAAAGCTTTGAACAGATTACAGGCAGGGTCATTTATGCTAAGTTATTTTCTAGACTTGCACTGGATATTTGAGGTTTTCAGAACTGAAGCAATGGAGTCTTAGAGCAAACAAGGAGCTTGCACGCTCACGCTCTATAACAAAAGCATGGAACAAGCTTTCACCTGAAATCTAGAGATGTTTCTTATTGCAAGTATGTTTTGGGATACTTATGGAAAAGGGAGGAAGAAAAAGACTTAACCAGTGCTAGCAAACAGGTGTGCTTCACTTCTCCCAATACAGCATGATGGAAATCAATCCTACAGCTAATAGCCTCAAAGAATAAAAGAGAAGATGCTTAATAGGGTCATCTCAAAAGTTTTTTTTTTTTTAAAAACACATTCTATTAAGAATGAAGGTCTCTTACACAAAGAAAAATACACAGTAAATTAATAGATAACACAGACCTTCATTAACCCCCTTAAATCTAGTGTAATATTGTACATGTCTATGTAAAGGTAGCTTGCTTACACAGTCCTAAAATGTTTTATCAGAACTTCTAAAAACTGAAGTCTCTATCTGTAGAGCAACAGTAGAGTTGTGCTCCCAACCCAGGTGCACTCACTTTGACAGTCAAATGTATTTAAAGTGAAGTCTAGAAGTGTAGTCAAATATCTTTTGACTAAAGTTTCAAAAACAGCTTTGAGATGTCAGAAGTCACAGCTTTTTAAAATCAACATTTATTGGATTATTCAGTATCTTAGACTATGATGTCACTCTTCAGAAAACCACACACTGATTAGAGGTAGAAAAGCCAAACAATTGCATGTACAGTACTCATAATTTTCAACAGATGGCACTTTATAGCAAGGAATCTATAGTGTCTAATTAAGAGGGTAGAAAGAACTGGATGATTAAGTACACAGCAATGTGCCAAAATTTGTCTGAGAAACTAGTATCCTAGGTTAGAAAGTGTAATCCTATAAAACTGAAAGTAGGAAGAAGCAAGTTAAACCAAACAAGAATTCTGAAGTAGCATTCTATCTCGGAGATAGTTGTTACATTGAGATATCCTTTATACAGTTAGGATATTCCAGCCCCACTCCCCCAAGCAGAATTTACAGGCAGAGTTAGTTTTAAAAATAGCACAGAAAAGCATGACTGTCAGATTATGGCTACTCATGCATGAATGCTCGAAAGTGATGATCCTTTCAACAGCACTTACACACACAAAATGCAATCTTATTGCATTTTGATATATAAAGCTACATACAGGATTTTTAAAACCATTGATGAGCTAAATGAAAGAGTGGCTTGGGAATATGGCTACCTCCGATTTACAGCCCAAGTTACTCTTTTAAGCTGTCTCTAAATATCTGACCACAAGGTACTTAATGCGATTCACAAAAAGCAAACCAAGACAGATAACACTTAAAGCACCCAAGGGAGAGCTAATGATGAGTAGTTACAGAGAAGAGTCAAAACTTTTTGAAGGTGTACAGAAAAAGGACAGGAGGCAATGAAAAAGCTGCAGCATGGGAAATTGCTATTTGATAAGAAAAGTTTGCACATCAAACTGGATGGATCAAATGGATACACATCGGAACGGGCTACACAGAGCATTTGAATCTCTTTGGAGATATTCATTACTCATCTTGACAAGGCCTGGAGCAAACTA